ATACACGCGCGGTGTTGCTAGAATGAAGTGCCTGTATATTTCACCTTTTCCAAAACGTGAGATAACTGCATAAGACAGTCCGTTACTGCAATATGCAGTGTTGTGATTATAATTTTGTCTCTGTCGCTTCACGTAAGAATTAGAGACTATACAATTGTACAAAGAACATGATCTAGTTCTCATAGCACATATAATATCTAGTTAAACAACTGTTTCAGAATTTATTAGTTTCCAGTTTTGGAAAACAACTTGACAGCGGGTCGAGACATAGAAATGAAAGCTTGTTTTCATAATATATTTTAATTATGCACTAAACAGGTGATCCAAGCGGGTGATCCAAAACAGGTGATCCAAAGCATATATCGTGTTTTAAACTAAGACTATAAGTGGTTAAAAAAGCTATAATGGTCTAACTTTATTTATACTTGATTGCTGTGTCAGTTCTAAACTGTTAGTACTGTTCTCCCTAGACGATGTTACAATTATAGCCATTTCATGTTGGTTCAGTATTCTTACCCGAGGAAACCTACATCATTTTAATTTTGCACAAATACTTGCAAGCTCTATCATTTCTAAACTGTTACAGTTAGGACCATCCATTATTGCACCATGGCAGTTATAAAGAAACTTGAGTCAAACTAACTAAATTTATGCCGATAAAGAACAAATTTTGACAAAGAGGCGATCGACGTTTCTTCTCAAGTAGTTGCACCTTTAAACCACGCTCGTCATATAACATTATTCTGCATGAGTTTTAAACTGTTCTCGTGGTTCATGGTGCACCAATAAAGAGCAGTCCTTAATGGAATAATGGTGCAGTTTTACTAAATTCTCAGAAAGTACTCGGACAAATTTTGCGGCCTTTGAAAGTTTTCATTTTAAAATGAAAGAGTATTTCAGTTATCTCGTATTATATATAGGCAGCTGTCATCTGGCAGTTATATACAAATTTTGCTGTTCTCACATTTTATTTAAGTTTTTCTTTTCTTTACTCGTTCATCCTTCAAGCCATATCTATTTTCCTCTGTTTTTCGTTTCCAAACTATTTTCTACTTTCTTCAGTATCGTCAGACTACAATCTTTGCCAGAAACTATGGGACAGTTGCTGTAATTTCATATATTTTGAAAGGAATAGCGCCCCCGTTCCTCCTGTTCACTGTTGGGCCAACAAAAATCTGATGTCTGGATGCGCGGCGCCAACATTGAAACGGTTAGGGGGAGGGAGGGTGGAAAATATGTATCAGCAAATGGTATATTACAACCGAATGCATGTGAAAACTAGATTGTCCCAATCTATATTGTCAAAGATTGTCTGTTGAAGTAATACATTACTCTTAAATTTAACTTAATTCAACTTGTAGACATCATCAAGCTGTGTACGCAGTCAATTTTCATAAGTTCTTCACACCTTTTAGGTCCTTTAGCAATTTCGTTGCACACAGATAATTTGCGTGTACTGGTTATACAATGCTTGCGTATGCGTGTGTTAGGAAATAGCTAAAATCCGGCTGAATTTCATCGCGTATATTTAAAATCAGATTTATAGTCACAATTCATTGAATTCCATGCATGGTAACAGTATTGGAACTCTATTTAAAGAAAATTGACAACTGAGCCAACTTGTTAGTAAACTAAGCGCGTATATGTGACAATGAGATCCATAGTATAGAAACGAATCTCACCACGAATCTCGCCATATTTTGATGGGCTCACACGCCATCAAAGCCTTAATAGCAGACAATATAAAAAAAAATTCACCCTAGGCATCTAAAGTCCAGCATATTTTACAAGATAGGACGATTTTACAAGTTTTCGTAACGAACTGACTAAGATACGAATGATTTTCTAGCAACGGTTCTCACTTTCTGTCATAAAATAGCCAATGAGATATAGATTTATTTACAGTTTTGTAGTGAGCTTCGTTCAAAAACGAACTTAAAAAGGGATATCTGCAAAGTTAACCGATTGTAATTAAGGAAAATGGTTTCTTGTACCCATATGCATATAAAATGTAAGATAAGTAAAATTTATAGTAACGCAAATCAGCGTTTTAGACCGAGATTCGTTAGTGAGCATCGTGTAATATGAGACGTATGAAATTTGACTACTGGCTGCGTTATGAACTGTGCTATAAATCTTATACTGCAAACGTAATTTGGCTTGCAAATGGCCCCAGTTCTCAAGTATAAGTTTGTAAAAGGCGAAAACAATGCATATTTATTTGTCTTTCCCCGCAGTTTAATATGTTGTGAGATGAGATTTAAACCTACCCGACTCACAAACCGATTATTTCTGAATAGTTCTGTTCCAGGTTCGTCGTAATTATGGTCTTTTGCATCATTCCAAAGACAGCAAGTAACTTTTGAGTAAATTTCCGCGGATTTTTCAAAAGGAAGAGAGCTATGATGATATTAGACGTGAATATAAATGTGCTTATTAAGCATTATAGCTAGTAGCACACGTACCTGTATTGGTATATAAAGTGTTAAAAATAACAACCCCCCCCCCCGGAATGAATGGATAGTATCTAAAACTACCAAAACTTGCCCACATATGCTTCGATACTGGAATATATGTAATTGGGCGGTATAAACTTAAAACTAAAACGTTTAATTACCAAATTCCAAACACCATTGATCACCACCAAGACAATCTTTGCCAGAAACTATGGGACAGCTGCTGTAATTTCATATATTTTGAAAGGAATAGCGCCCCCCGTTCCCCCAGTTCAATGTTGGGCCAACAAAAATCTGATGTCTGGATGCGCGGCGCCAACATTGAAACGGGTGGGGGGAGGGAGGGTGGAAAATATGTATCAGCAAATGGTATATTACAACCGAATGCATGTGAAAACTAGATTGTCCCAATCTATATTGTCAAAGATTGTAGGTTTGGACTCTTCGACATATTCTCATGCTTTTAATAACCTTCATTACCTCAGTGCGTAAAATCTTGTTTTTCCGGTAAAAGATTAAGCAGTTGCATGTTGAATTCATTGCGGTTGTCGTTGAAGCCCAGAGTGCTGCGAGGAGTGCGTTATCCAAATTAAATTCTTTTGCTGTCGAGGTTATGGTCAGTCCAATGTAGGCGAACACTGGAATGTTTAGTACTACAAAACAAGCGACTGCCAGCAAGCAACTCGATATATTTTTCAAAGAAAACGTCTTTTTCATCTCGGTCGATATTCCGTTGTTTCTACGACTTTTCCTGGCGACTGCGAACAATTTGTAGTTGATGAACAACATTGGGGGAATGATAATAATAAAAAAAATTAGAAGAGCAACTTGATAGGGAATAACACAGTCGTTAAAAGATAGCAGCAGCAGGGTTACTTCTACGGTAATCAGTATTGCCAGAAGAGTTAAAAGTCTTCCCTTCGTTACCGATGTTCGATGAAAGATGGGATAATATGTCGCCAAATATCGATCAAAATTTATCGCCAAAAGAGCGAGCAAAGAAAAACCAACGAAAACAACTGAGAACCTTGTGGAAATAACCACCCAGCCAGTGTATCGATCCAACCTTCCAGTCAAGAATAAGATCGCATGAAGAGCCGTGAGTGGATGACCAGTTAAAACCGCAAGCAAGTCGCAACAGGACAAAACCATTATAATGAAATAACATAATTTCTTTCGAAGTTGGATAGACCGCCAGAAAGTGAGTATGACCAGGGAATTTAAACATATTCCTGAGAAAAAGAACAATACGTTCAAAGCAAATATAAATATCAGGTTGATGAAACGAAAGAACTCCATCGTACGACTTCGTAATTGACCTCCTCTTCTGAAGAATTGAACATAACAAATATTGTCAGCAGGTGATATAGTTAGAATGACAATGCTGAAGTGGACATATGGCATAATTATATAAATGGTTCATTACCATGATAACACTTCTATGAATGTTTTAGTATGTCTTATTGTACGTGATGCGTTGAAGACTTACGGTGAAGTTGCCTCCTACTTCTTTTCAAATGTAGAAAATTTATGGTTTGGTCTTGCATCTAAATTGTTTGGGAGGATTTCCATTTTAAGTATACAATCCTAATCACACTACTACCCTAATACTAACATTAATCCTAATCCTTTCATTAATCCTAATCCTTTCATTAATCCTAATCCTAACATTAATCCTAGTCCTAACATTAATCCTAATCCTTTCATTAATCGTAATCATTTCATTAATCGTAATCCTTTCATTAATCCTAATCCTTTCATTAATCCAAATCCTTTTATTAATCCTAATCCTAATTACATATAGTGTTATTCTTTAATTAAATCAATGTCATAATACGAAATTTCAGCACACTCCCAACCGTGCAAAGAAAAACAATAGAAGGGGACTGGAACTGACGTCCAATAGCTCTCTTCAATTTCCGCCATCTTGGATTCGCTTTTTGAACTCGAGTTCTCACTCCAGATATATATAGAGGTCACTGGATGAAACGACCATGACAGTTGATGAGAGTTGAAACTCTCACTCGTTTTTGATCGCCAACTCTCATCGACTCTCCTGTACTCTCATGAATGAACCCTCCTTGTTTTATTTTGCTATCTGGCAAGTTACGATTATATGAAACTATACATTCCCCATTGTGTTTCTACAATGCATACCATAATATAACAAAGATACTTGCAGGTTCGGTGAGTCCGGGATTGGACGCACCTCGGACTCACCGAACCCGGACGCACCAATCCCGGACTCACCGAACCTGCAAGTATGCTTGGTTTTTATCACATGCCATTTCGGTAAAAAGTACTAAAGAATTTACGCATTTTAGTATATAATTTCTTGTTTGGATAACGAAAATTTTAGCATTTAGAGAAAATATACACATTCTGCGAAAACATTGCCAAGATTTAAGGCCTGATTCCACGAGGCGGAATTTTTCGACCGAAAAGAAATTTCTCTTTGTCTTTTTACAATTAGTTCTGCTCGAGAGCTCATGAAACAAAGGGAAATTTCGGTTCGGTCGAAAAATTTCGCCTAGTGGAAAACCGCCTTTATATAAACCTGCTAGTGCCGAAGAAATTTCGGCGGCCATCTTTCTTCTCTTCACTTTGAATACAGAATTAATATTCGATTTTCATCAAACAAAATAAAAAAATAATTATAAAACAATTAAAAACAGTCAATTTATTTTTTATTTAAATCTTCGTCTGAAATTTGTTCAAATCGCTTCATAAAGGCCGCCGCGCCGAAACATCGATCTCGAATCCACCTCCTAAACATACGTCAGCAGGTGGGTTCGAGATTGAACGCACCTCCTCGTAGCCAATAGGAAAGCCGCTAATACGCTAGGTATGAGATAATAATACGAAGCTCTCTTTGGAGCTTTTAAAATACATTCGCCTGCCAACGTGTATATAACACGGGAAGGGGTCTATTTACTTTTTTCCTAAGTCATTTATTACATTGCCACAGTATTGTATAAACATATATTGCTTTCAATAAACTTTTTAAATGAATAGCGATTCAATTGCCTGCATGAAAATGCAAGCAAAACGTCGGCATTTCGAGCGAAAGCGCCCTTCGATTTTGTCTGGAAATTAGTAGACGAAAACGGTTCAAAATTATATTATTGCTTTGCACCTGTATGTCTGCACTACAGTTACAATATTGCAGTATTAAATCTATGTAGCGCTGGCCAGTAAATATGCAACAATTGACATTTTATATCATTTATACAAAACTATTTCAAGTGGGCGGTGTTACTGTAATATGGAATATTAACTAAGTAGACGGTGATCAATTTTACTATAGGGCTTTCGGGCAGGCTCTTTTTCAATTCTCTGCCCTATGGTAGTATAGAAGAGCCGACCACGCTGGCTGTACCTATACTAATAGTGCAGTTTTACTAAATTATTAAAAACTTCTCGCAGGAATTTTGCGCCCTTTGATACTTTTCATTTTAAAATATTATATCGTATTATAGGCAGCTGCCATCTGGTAGCTATATACATGTTTTACTGTCGTCACATTCTGTCTAATTTTTTTTTCTTTTCTCGTTCACCCTTCTAAGCCAAATCTATTTTCCCAACTATTTTCTGCTTTGTTCAGTATCGTCCGATTAGGTTTGGTCTCTTCGACATATTTTGATGCCTTTGAAAACTTTCATTCCCTCGGCAACTCGATATATTTTTGAAAGAAAACGACTTTTTCGTTTCGGGCGATATTCCGTTGTTTCTACGACTTTTTTGACTTTTCCTGACGACTGCGAACAATTTGTAGTTGATGAACAACATTGGAGGAAAGATAATAATAATTAATATTAGAAGAGCAAGTTTATAGGGAATAACAAAGTTGTTGAAAGATAGCGACATCAGGGTTATTTCCACGGTAATCAGTATTGCAAGAATTGTTAAAAGTCTTCTCTTTGTTATCGATGTATGATGAAGATAGGATAAGATGTCGCCAAATATCGATCAAAATTCATCACCAAAAGAGCTAGTAAAGAAAAACCGTTGAAAATAGTCATTAACTTTGAAGAGATGACATCCCAGCCGCGGTATCCATCGAACTTTCCAGTCAAGAGCAACATCGTACGAAGAGCCGCCAATGGGTGACTAGTTAAAATCAGAAGCAAATCGCAACAAGACAAAAGCATTATCATGAAATGGCATAATTTCTTCCGAAGTTGCACAGACCTCCTGATACTGAGTATGACCACGGAATTTAAACATATTCCTGAGAAAAAGAACAACACGTTCAAAGCAAATATGAATATCAGGTTGATGAAATGAAATAACTCCATCGTGCGACTTCGCAATTGACCTCCTCTTCTGAAGAATTGAACGTAACAAATATAGACAACAGCAGATGATATTTAGAATCACAATCCTGAAGTGCACTTATATGGTGTAATTATATAAATAGTTCATTGCCATGACAACACTCCCATGAATATATTAGTATGTCTTATTTGTACGTGGTTCGTGGAAGACTGGCGTTGAAGTTGACTCCTATATACTTCTTTTCAAATGTAGGAAATTCATGGTTTGGTCTTGCATCTAAATTGTTTGGGATGATTTCCATTTTGCAATCAGTATGCAATCCTAATCACACTATTACCCTAATAGCACCATTAATCCTAATCTTAACATTAATCCTAATCCTTTCATTAATCCTAATCTTAACATTAATCCTAATTCCAACATTAATGCTAATCTTAACATTAATCCTAATCCTTTGATTAATCCTAATCTTAACATCGATCCTAATCTTAACATTAATCCTAATACCAACATTAATGCTAATCTTAACATTAGTCCTAATCCTTTCATTAATCCTAATTCTTTCATTAATCCTAATCTTAACATCGATCAATCCTAATCATTTCATTAATCCTAATCCTTTCATGAATCATATCCTAACATATAGTGTTATTCTTTAATTAAGCCCGTTACTGCAATATGTAGTGTTGTGATTATAATTTTGCCTCTGTCGCTGCACGTAAGAATTAGAGACTATACAATTATACAAAGAACATGATCTAGTTCTCATGGCTCATAATATCTAGTTAAACAACTGTTTCAGAAGTTATTAGTTTGCAGTTTTGGAAAACAACTTGAGAGCGGGTCGAGACATGTAAAGGAAAGTTTGTTTTTATAATATATTTTAATTATACACTAAACAGGTGATCCAAGTGCTAAGCACGTTTCACATTGCCACAAAGTAAAGCATATATGAAAATCATGTCTTAAACTAAGACTATAGTGGTTAAAAAAGCTATAATGGAATAACTTTATTTATACTTGATAGCTCTGTCAGTTTTAAATTGTTAGTATTGTTCTTCCTAGAGGGCTATGTTACAATTATAGCCATTTCATTGCTACCAGAGGAAACCTACATCATTTTAATTTTGTATAAATACTTGCGAGCTTTATCAGTTCTAAACTGTTACAGTTAGGACCATTCATTATAGCTCCATTGCAGTTATAAAGAAACTTGAGTCAAATTAACTTAATCTATGCCAATAAAGAACAAATTTTGACAAAGAGGCGGTCCAAGTTTCTTCTCCAGTAGTTGCACCTTTAAACCACGCTCGTTATAACATTATTCTACATCAGTTCTAAACTGTTTCTCCCCATCCATCATTGGTGCACCAATAAAGAGCACTTGTTAATGGAATAATAGTGCAGTTTACTAAATTATTAAAAACTACTCGGAGAAATTTTGCGGCCTTTGATAGTTTTCATTTTAAAATGAAAGAGTATTTCAGTTATCTCGTATTATAGGCAGCTGCCATCTGGCAATTATATATACATGTTTTACTGTTGTCATATTTTATTTAAATTTTTGTTTTCTTTACTCGTTCATCCTTCGAAGCCAAATCCATTTTCCTTGTTTTTCGTTTCCCAGCTATTTTCTACTTTGTTCAGTATATCGTCCGATTAGGTTTGGACTCTTCGACATATTTTCATGCCTTTAATAACTTTCATTCCCTCGATGCGTAAAATCTTGTTTTTCCAGTAAAAAATTAAGCAGTTAAATGTCGAGTTCATTGCACCTATGGTTGAAGCCCAGAATCCTGCAAGGAGTGCGTTATCCAAAGTAAATTCTTTTGCTGGCGAGGTTATCCTTAGTCCAATGTAGACGAAAGCTGGAATGTTTAGCACCACAAAACATACGACTGCCAGCCAGACACTCGATATAGTTTTTAAAGAAAACGTGTTTTTCATGTCGAGCGATATTCCGTTGTTTGTACGACTTTTCCTGGCGACTGCGAACAATTTGTAGTTCATGAACAACATTGGAGGAATGGTAATAATAATAAATATTAGAAGAGCAACTTGATAGGAAATAACAAAGTCGTTAAAAGATAACAGCAGCAGGGTTACGTGCACGGTAATTAGTATTGCAAGAAGAGTTAAAAGTCTTCCCTTCGTTACCGATGTTCGATGAAAGACAGGACAATATATCGCCAAATATCGATCAAAATTCATCACCAAAAGAGCGAGTAAAGAAAAGGCAACGAAAACAGCTGAGAACCTTACGGAAATAACCATCCAATTAGGGTATACATCCAACTTTTCAGTCAAGAATAACATCGCGATAAGAGCCGTCAGTGGATGATTAGTTAAAACCACAAGCAAATCGCAACAAGACAAAAGCATTATCATGAAATGGCATAATTTCTTTCGAAGTTGAACAGACCTCCGGAAGCTGAGTATGACCAAGGAATTTAGACATATTCCTGAGAAAAAGAACAATACGTTCACAGCAAATATGAATATCAGGTTGATGAAATGAATAAACTCCATTCTGCGTCTGCTGAATTGACTTCCTCTTCTGAAAAACTGAAGATAATAAATATAGGCAGCAGATGTTATGCTTAGAGTGACATTTCTGAAGTAGATAGATATAATTATATATATATATAATTCATAACAATGTCAATGAGAAGTCTTCATGGACATTTTATTAAACACTGAACATCGCTAAACATTGTCTTTTTTTACATGTTGATGTGAATAAGACGTACGTTGAAGAGGCCTCCTGCACTTCTTTTCAAATGTAGAAAAGTCATGGTTTGGTCTTGCATCTAAATTGTTTGGCAGAATTTCCATTTTAAGCAAACAATAGGCAATTCCAGCTTTTAGTTTATGCGCGCAGGGGGAGATGGGAAGTAAGGTATCATATTGCTGATTATGCTGAAAAAATAAAAAATGCGGCCGTGTAAACACGGAGTGATAGCTTATACTTGTAAATATTAAAATATTTCGGTTGTTTCGGCAGTTTTTATTAACATTTTTCCGCGTAATCAGCAATATGATACCTTACTTCCCATCCCCCCTGTGCGCATAAATTAAAAGCTGGAATTGCCTATCCTAATCACATTTCCACCCTAAAAACTTTCAAACGACTCCTAGTCATCGTCTAACATTGTCAACATGGTCTCTTGACTCTCTTCATTTTATGATGTATATCATCATACGGTCATGCTTAATAAATCTATGATGCATGTATATCATCATATAGGTGTTCATTTTAATGTTGCATATATAATTCATGCGCTTTTTCTGTTTCAGGAAAGTTGTAAATATTCATGTCTCCTGGCAAAGACCATACCAGATCAGTTTTATTATCAAGCAGAATCATTAGTAAAGCCATTGCTGTTATCAATCGCACATCAACATTCTAAAGTCAGGCTGGCTGTTTTAGAGGTAGGCTGTAATTTTACCGCAATTTACGTGGGGGTGCTGTGTATATAGTATTCTACATTACAGTACAGCACAGCACAGCACAGCACAGCACAGCACAGCACAGCACAGCACAGTAAAGCCTCGCATAAGAGAACCAGTGGGTTAAAAACCACCCCAGCTTGAAATTTGGGCAATTTTAAAAGCATCCAAAATGGAAGAACCACTTCAGGCTATGAAGTGAAACTGGTTCTTAAAAAACTTTATTAAACTTTTAGCTGAATTAGTAAGCAGGTACTAGGAAGAAAATACTGTAATCTTGCTAGCATGAATTATGTCTTTCAGCCACATCATGCATGCATTATTTTTATCAAACCTAGTTTCATGATACACTATAAAAGGTTTAAAACTCTAAACCAAGAACAATTGTTTTTGACTGGAAATAGGAACCAGTTAAGAACCGCTTCAGCCTGATTTCTTTGTAAGAACCACTTTTTTTTTCAATTGTTGAAGAATACGAATGTTCTCACCAAGACGTTTCACAAGCCATCCGTGTTGTATCGGATATAGAACACGGCCGCTCATGTTGTAAATACATATATTTCATCTTGAAGTGATTCTTTGTTCAGACTGTAGGTGTTGTAATCCAAGGTGGTGATGGGAAAAATGTGGACAGTGTCCTGCCTCATATTGCTCAACGAACATTTGATGAAAATCCAGTTGTAAGGTCTATGGTGTCCACTGTGGTTGGAGGGTGGTTACTTGATCTCAGGAATAGGTATGTTTTACTTTGAGAGTCACTTACTGAACGTAATACTGTAATAATGTGTATTATTATATGGCTTTTCGAAATTCTCTATTCTGATTGGTTGACAAGCGGTCCGTAAAAACCCATATCCGGACCGTGGTCCGTATTTTCCGTATCTGGTCTGGTGTCCCGGATGTCGTTTATCTGGCGGGAAATTTTTGCTTTGCAAACAGAAAAAATTTTTGCTTTTTAATTTTCCAATTGTGTGTTATTAAAATTTACAGATAAAAATTTCAAACAAGTGAAACAACCAAATTGGTTTTGATTGAGCATGCATGCCTACCGTATATTGTTACCCCAGTGAAACTGACGATAGCCGATTTAATTCGCGCGAAAAGCATATGCTCACAGACTCAGTTCAGCCCATTGAAACTGACGATAGCCGATTTAATTCGCGCGAAAAGCATATGCTCACAGACTCAGTTCGGCCATATAATAAACCGATTATTGACATCGCTTGTTCGCGGTCTGAACTGTGAAATATCAGACCTCTGTTTTTTGCATGGACCTCGCTCCTTCGTCGCTCGGTCCATACTAAAATCCTCGGTCTGATATTTAACAGTACAGAACTCACGCTCGGCCAATAAGCCGTTATAATTTGGCAAGGGGTGTGTGCTGATGGTAGACAGTAGTGTATCTCACATTGCTCAAGGAATCCAGCTGTGAGAGTTGGTTGATTGATCTAAGAGATAGGTAAATTTTTTTGAAGGAAATAATGTGTGTAATGTGGTAAGGGGGTGTATGCTGGTAGTACAGTAGTCTATCTCATAATAAGTTTTTTAGACGTTCTCTGGTTTTTAAATATTTATTATTACGAGCTTTCGACTGCCAGTCTGCAGTCTTCAACGAGTGGATTACAATGACTGAGGATTACAATGACTGAAGATTACAATGACTGAAGATTACAATGACTGAAGATTACAATGACTGAAGATTACAATGACTGAAGATTACCGTTGAAGACTGCAGACTGGCAGTCGAAAGCTCGTAATAATAAATATTTAAAAACCAGAGAACGTCTAAAAACTTATTATTAATAATCCTGGTTTCGCTTCAAACATATTTAAGAATAAGTCTATCTCATATTGCTGAACTCGGACATTGGATGATATGAAAACTGAGTTGTGAGTTCTATGTTGTCCACTGCAGTTGGACCGTAGCTGTTATCCGTGATCGGGCATGGGTCATACGATGGCTGCCAGAGTCGCTCTTCGAAAGCCTTCGACTCGACCGGGTTGAGCTGAGCTTGCTCAATTTGATCAGAAAACTGACATCACCTCAACTTACGTTTAGTTTTGTGTTCTCCAGGTACTCTTATTTTCACAAGTTACTACCGTTGCTGCTGACAGCTTGTCTGATGATATACAAGAGATCCAAAAGAAATCATCAGATTTGTTTGACAAGGTACTTAGTTCTTCAAATTTCAGCCAGTGGTCGACACTGGGGGTGGGGTGAGGAAAACTAGGTTGGTAATACATGACGACCTTTTGTTGCTGGAAATGTTAGTCCTTTAAACATTTTGCCTTAAATTTCATGCAATATGTAGCTTTCCTTGTAGCACCAATGCTTTTATGGTTGAAATATTATTGTTACAACTTTGTTATACACAATGGAGAATTCCGTTAAATAAAATGCCATCACCCAATGGGGCAAGACATTACTTGTAAAAGTATTCACCGTTGTATTTAAACTTGGTATGCCATTGTTTTTCCACAGACCAGACAGCAACCATACGTGTGACTAACTTATCAGAAGACACCAGAGAGTTGGATTTACAGGAACTCTTCCGACCTTTTGGACGCATATCTCGAATTCATCTTGCTAAAGATATAAAATCACCAACCAATCCAAGGTACTGTATATTCTATACATTTTTTGTATTTTTAATTAGAGTTTAGATAAAAATAGAATATTTATAAAAGTGAGTTATGTCCTATTTAAAACATGAGCAGCAGTGTTTTATCAGATATAAAGATACGAGTCTGATAAAACACGCACTGCGAATGTCTTAAATTGCTTCAAAAGCGATCGATCTAGTAAGTTCATTGGCGAAGTGATTCTCAAAAAATACATTGTGTAAGTCGAGAAAATCAAAGTTAAAGTTTATGTAAATCAAGGGAAATCTCTATCACATATAAAGATACGACAGGCTTATGATTTTTCTTTGTGTTTTGCTCATGAATTATTAATGAGTTTTTGAAATTTTTAGTGAGAATTTAGATAAAAATAGAAGATTTATAAAAGTGACAATTAAACAAGAGCCGGAGAAACGATATATACAGGTCCATTCATGCAAGATTAACATTTACCTTTTGAATTTTCAAATACGGACAAGAAACTAAAATTATTTCCGATCCTGATAATAATTCAGATAATTCAACTAATAAATTAGTTTGTTGGTTCTTCAATTTTTTCCCGCTCATTTGTAATGTATTTTTATTTTATATTCAGGGATTCGCTTTCATCAATTTTTGTTCGACGTGAAGACGCTGCTCGAGCGATTAAGTGTGTCTCCGGTCTTGGTTACGACCATCTTATTCTTAACGTAGAGTGGGGGAGGTAAGAACAGTCGACAGGGGAAATTACATGGGGGAAATTTGGTTAAAGGCAGTGGCAGATAGTAGGAGGGGGAAGGGGGGGGGCGATTCTATGTGATTCTAAACTGATTCTAATTTCGCCTCAGTCTTATGAGTATTGAGAAGAATTCTTCCAGATTTGACTCTGCCAAAACTGACTGCCAAACACCCCACCGGTTCTCTCTTGAAGTAACACTCGATAGACTGGACCTCTAGACTCTCACCCGTTCCGCACGTTGTAACCAATAATCTATTGTAATTGTAAACCGATTGTAAGCAATAACTTATTGGGTTACATCTAAAGCATTCGACAAGACTTTTTGTTATAAATGTAATCGTCCTTAAATGGAGGTAGGTCGCGTCTGGGTGGGGAGACCACTAAAAAAAGGCCATCAAGTTCTCAAGTTTAGATTAATGTCAGATTAAGATTAGGGTTAGATTAAGATTACATCCTAGTTTAGAGGTTAGAGTTGGGGTCAAATTGGGGGAAGTTATTGCATACAATCGGTTTGCAATCACAATAGATTATTGGTTACAACGTGCGGAACGGGTGAGAATAGTGTAAACAGATAGAGCTATTCAATTTGAATAAATACAGAAATATAGTAATTTTCTCGTGATTGTAATGAAATAAATCAAAGTACATATTCACATATTTGTTTTACGTGTTTATTCATATTTTAAAATTAACAACGTAATTCACTCAGTTTCACTGACAGCAACTATACATGTTATACGGGGTGTATAAAAAAGACGAAACCTATCTATTATGCTTCATATGTTTTGAAGGTCGGTTATTTGACCTACTTATTTAATAGTTTATACGGCTTGATATGAGCCGGGGTAGCCCCACAATTTTTTTCCTGACCATAAAAATTTAACAACTTTAATTTGGCACATAAAAAACTGAATATTTACATAACTTAAACGGACAATTACATTGTACAAGAAGACGAGGAAAGTGCCAAAAGTGGCGAAACACAAACGAGACTATGTCCCATGCAGGGTGCTCACCACTAGACAACAAACAAAGACAGGAAACAAAGACAAGGAAGATTAAATGAAAAGACTAAGAGAATGAAAAGGCAGAAAGAATGAAAAGACAAAGAGAGAAATGTTAGATATTTTTTATTGAGTCGTGATAAGTGAGTGTGAACTAGGTAAGTCAGGAGTGTAGGAAGTACTAGTGAGGTGGATGTAAGTCTTGCGCAAGTATGTCTTAAAAGAGGAGACAGTGACATAACAATACGAAGGAGCAGACGTACAAACATAGTTCCACAGTTTAACAATTCTAACACAATACGAACTTTGAAATGTACTTGTTTTGCATGCTTGTGTTCTCAGAAGACCAGAAGTGGCCGCGCGTGTCCTTCCCGTTGTAACTTCAACATACTGCGATATGTCAAAATCTGTGAGACCGTACATGCATTTATAGAAAAATATCAAGTCCTTCTGTTCTCTGTCGTATACAAGCTCGTTTGAAAAAAAAATGTAAAAAGTTTTGTAAAAAGATCGTTTGAATGAACTTTACACTGTTACTGGAATCAAACTAAGCTAATTCCAACCTCGTTCCCAGACTTTTACTATCGTCCCAAGTAACTGGGCCAGCCCTGTTCCCTTTAAAAAAGCCCCCAAAGCACGTGCGCAAAGCCAGATGGTTGTATTCGGCTGTAGAATGCAAAGTTATGCAAAGTAAAGATTAACGATTGGGTTTGCTGTGTACGTCACCAAGGTTACGTTTGCACGACGCGCGCAATGCACTTTGGGATAGATTCAAGATGGCGGCAGATTTGAGTTGTTCTGAAAAAGAGACGCTTTCAAATATACTGCAGGTATTTAAGAGAAATAACTTGTTTTAATTCGATGAATTGTTGCTTATGTTAGCAGAATTTCTCTAGCTTTAGTTATTTTTGATAATACAATTGAAATATGGATATCTGTGGCGAATTAAACTATGAAATTTTCAAGTTTTGAAACTAGTATATATAAAATGTTTCAATCCATCATCCATGCTTTGACATTCGTTTTACAATGCATTGACATGTATGTATGTACGTCTTTAGTCTGGTTTTTCTGTCTGTCAATCTATATGATGTTTTAAACTGTACCAGTCGGCCGAAATATTTTAACAAAAATATGTTTAAGGCCACTATTTGTTGTATATTAGTTTCTCATCCCCGCCCGCATGCTTTTTAAGAAAATTGTTTTGTTCGCCATTATTGCCATTATTGTCGTATTTGACCATTATTCATAAATTTTGTGATGTCTTCAAAGTGACATTTGAGAGAAAGACAATTAGAAACATTCCCAAACCAAATGTTATAGTTAAAATACGAAATTTCCTAACCAAACTGATAGTTTTTCCCGCATTATGTAATATGTGACACGCTTATTAAATATCCAAACTCAGTTACGTCTCGTTCTGGGTACAAAATTATTTTACATGTGGAGTGGCCATGTTTTTAATATGAAAACACGCTTTCAGTTGCACTTACTGATTTTGTGCTGTTTTTCAGCAAGTTGCAGATGTATAAAACCCGGCATTACACACGCACTGTATATTAAATGCTTATAAATGCTTGCAAAATAAATTTTACGGGGAGTAGAGGGGAAATCCGGCAAATAATGGCATAATGGTAATGGCCCACCCGCCTGCATCAACTTTAGGAGAAGCCCTGGATGAGAAACTAATATACAACAAATAGTGGCTTAATATTGGATAGCTTGCCAAAATAGTTTTTATGAACAATTTTTAATAGTAGAGTACATTCCATGTTATCATTTTATTTTATACATTTTGGATATAAAATAATATATTTTCAGGGTATTCAGAGGGATATCAATTGTCTTTCTGAGGACAATAAATCTACCAGAAAAAGAGCAATAGAAAAAATCAGCAAGGAACTAATAAAAAAGAAGCCGCCATTAAACTCTGGTGTGCTGCAAGAATGTCTTGAGTCTATTATCAAGCCTGTGCTGAAGATATTCTCTGATCCATCTGAGAAATGTCGAGAGCTGTCAATACAAATTGTTTTGGAGTAAGTATACTAAGTACTGTTTTGCCTATACTACTACTGTTTTGGAGTAAGTAATCTCTTTTCTTTTACTCTTTTTACCGAGATATTTGATGATCGTTTCCCCGGGTGTAAATAGCCGGGGGGAATTAGTACCCTCGCACGGCGCTTCGCGCTGTCGGCTCGGGGATTATTATTTCTATAAAGAATATTGCAAAAAATATAATTATGGAGAAAGATTGAGTGATCAAAAAACTCATTTGAAGATTAAGTTTCTACAACCCTACACCACTAGTAGAAATGTGCTTGAATGTATAAATCCCTTCCATTGTACCGTTCACCCAAGTTAGCCCTAGTTTTTTCAAAGTATAGTCATGTATTTTATAAAATATGCAATTCAATTATCGTAGTGCATCATCCTATGTGCAAGACATGTCGGCGTTTCTACCATACATCATTCCCACTTGTGTCCAACGCCTGGGCCAACAGGAAATCATTGAAACGTGTGAAGAATTGAGATTGCTATTGCTGGAATTATTGATTGCCTTGGTTGAAGTGTGTAGAGAAAAAATGGTGATGTACATTGATGATCTGGTCAAAATTTTACAGAAAACCATTGCAGACCCTTTTCATCACGTCAAAAAGGTAAGATGTTAAAAGGTTTTGCCATTTAACCAAAGATTAAAGAAGACTTGTAGTACAAGAGAGTTAACCCAAGGTCAAACGATGATTAGCATTGCAAATCTCCCTTGCATTTGACCGTTAACTCTCATGCATTCTCATCAATTTTGACCTGCCTCAAATTTTACTGAGAGTTGCAAATCTCGCTCGCATTTGAAAGTTTATTCGACATAAAAATCATATTTATAACGAATAAGTCTTGCACTCTCAGATAACCCAAACTTGCCTTGCTTATCATTATGATGTCATTGCATATCATTATGATATCATTGCATATCATTATGATGTCATGCATGCATTATGCTTCACACCCTCAGCCCGCCCCATCTTGCACCTGTTGTGTCGCACCTTCCCCACCCTGAATATTTAATGAGTTCACCCATATGAGTTCACCCCTGCCCAAATTCGCCATGCAATCATTATGACGTCATTGCATATCGTTATGACGTCATGCTACTCATGCATATGTAATGAGTGTGCACCCCCATCCACACCCATCTCCTCCCACCACCCAAAAATCCACTTTAAAAACCGCCTACACTACCACTATAGGACAGCCTGTTGCTGCAATATGCAGTGTTGTGATCGTAATATTGTACCTTTCCCACGTAAGAATTCGAGACTATACAAAGAACATGATCTAGTTCTCGTAAAACATCTAGTAAATAGTAGCTGTTTCAGAAGTTATCAGTTTGCAGTTTTGGAAAACAAATTGAGAGCGGGTTGAACAGCTGCTACTACTAGCCTAAGACTAATATTAATTCTAATCCTAACATTAATCCTTTCATTAATCCTAATCCTTTCATTAATCCTAATCCATTCATTAATCCTAATCCTTTCATTAATCCTAATCCTAACATTTAACAATTATTTGCCGAAGGCGAGTTGATTATCGGTAAATATTCGCCGAGACAAAGTCGAGGTGAATATTCCACGATATTCACTGAGCCTGAGGCGAATAATTGTTTTAGTATTTTTACACAAGTCTTTTGTTTTTTTGAGACTGAATTTATTTTAATTTCGCTTATTTCTTTATCAGTATTAGTTACATAAAACAGCTAGCCGCCATTTTGAAAATTTCGGTTTTGTTATATTCACCTGTAGGTGAATATACTTGTAGGATTTGTTATGTTCACTTGTGCAAAAATACTAAATAGTGTTGTTCTTTAATTAATGTCAAAATACGAAATTTCGGCACACTCCCAACTGCGCAAACAAAAACAATCGAAAGGGACTGGAACTAACGTCCAATAGCACTCTTAAATTTCCGCCATCTTGGTTTCGCTTTTTGAACTCGAGTTCTCACTCCAGATATATATAGAGGTCACTGGATGAACGACGATGACAGTTGATGAGAGTTGAAACTCTCACTCGTTTTTGATCGTCAACTTTCATCGACTCTCCTGTACTCTCATGAACCCTCAGGTCAAGTGAAAAATACCTGGGTTCTGGTCACCTGACCATGCCTATTTTTTGGCCACTAATGTCACTGACCGTAGTCTTTTTCTCTAAAATTTACAAAGCGTTTGGAGCAATTGCGGTGCGGTGTGTAATGTACATATAACGGGATATAACTTCTTTAATGTTAACTCGCCAACTTCTGCTGGAGGAGTTGGAATTTTTTTATAGCAAATAATTTGAAAACCATAATTAGGCCTGATATAGTGATAAATTGTGAACAAGTCGAATTGTGCTGGATCGAAATTGATGCAGGTCCTAATAAAAAAAGATATATAATTGGTTGCATTTATAGACATCCGCACTCAAAAATAGCGGCTTTTACAGAAAAATTAGATGAACTACTTGGACAATTTAATCAAAATAAATACCAAGTATTTATATTAGGTGATATGAATATTGATTTTATAAAGTTTAATGATAATCAACAGACGGAGAGGCACTTAAACATGCTATATGCAAATAACTTTTTACCCATTATAACAAAACCGACAAGAATAACTGATTATACTAAAACATTAATAGATCATATATATACTAATGCCCCTATTGACCAAATCCTTTCGGGCATTGGATTAATGGACATATCTGATCACTTACCAATTTTCTGTATTGTAAGTACAGAAATAAAAAGGGTTAAAGCTAAAAAATTATATAGAGATTATAGTACTTTTAACAATGAGCTATATATTGAGGATATTAATAGTGTTGACTGGAATGGTTTAATAGATGAGGATAAATGCTTGAACGAAATAACAAATAGTGTTATAAATACGATTAATCAAATTGTAAATAAACATGCTCCATGTAAAGTAGCTTCCCAAAGTTTAAGGAAACAACTTGACAAACCCTGGATAACTAAGGGAATTCTAAAATCAATAAAAATAAAGCAAAAAATGTTCTATACTCATTTCCATTCTAATAATATTAGCAAAGTAAGTCAATATAAGATTTATGCTAATAAATTAAACTATATAACAATGCTTAGTAAAAGGCAATATTATCTGAATAATTTTGATAAATGTAAAAATAACTTAAAAACAACATGGAAATTAATAGGAATATTAATAAAAAGGAAAACTAAAAGCCAACCATATCCATCTAAATTAGTTATAAATAATAAAGTATATACAGAGGAAATTGATATAGCAAATCAATTTAACCAACACTTTGCAAATGTTGGCCCACACTTGGCTAGTAAAATTGAAAAAATTAATGAATCCCCAATCAAATATATTCGAAACTGTCCGAGCTCTAGTTTTGTATTATCCCCTGTACGAGCTTCAAAAGTATCTGAATTATTTTCTAATTTAAATACAAACAAGGCTAGCATTAATATTCCCAATACATTAATAAAAATTGTTGCGAAACAACTCTCAATACCTTTCACTTATATCTATAATAAATCATTTGAAACAGGTATTGTACCAGACGTTTTAAAAATATCGAGAATTACTCCTATT